TAGTTTCAAAGTAAACATCGTTCATATTAACGTATGCCTTTAGTAAATTAAATTTGAGTAAAAATTTAATACATTTTCTTGAATTAAATTGTTTAATTAACGCCATTGTTTTAGTCAAATTAACGACATATTGTGTAGGGGCAGTGATGACCTATAGAAATGATTAAAAATTCCCAATTAAGTGCAATTTAATATTATGAATTTAACAGTGTTGAATAACATTTTCAATCTTGATTTTACTAGCAACAAAAGGGCGGGCCTCGGAAATTAACGCTTCCAGTTCGAGCGACCGACGCCGATGTTGCCCTTCTGTTAGGCGGTCGTGCTCTCGGTAATCTCGAATGCCTCAGTCTAGCCTTCACCTCTGTAACGTCCGCGTGCGCGGAACAATTGATAAAGTTACCGGCGCTGAGATATTTGAACCTGTGGGCTACACAATTCGGCGACGCCGGCCTACAAATGATTAGCGAGCATCTGCAGAAGCTGCAGGTGCTGAATCTCTGCGAGACGCCAGTGTCCGACAAAGGCATCTCCACGTTGGCCTGTAAGTATCCTAATTCTCAAAGCTTAAAATTCAGATAATAATTTGATTTTTTTTATTAAAAATGTGGTAAAATTAATCTTGAAATATTGTAGAATATGAAATTTTAATTGTTCAATTTCTGTATGTCAATATATCTTAAAAAAAATTTCGCGTAAAAATTTATAGAAAATCATCAAGAATGGCCGTTGCGTACGAGTTAAAAATTAAAAATACATTTAATTTTCCGCCAGCAGCATGAATTTTAACTCTTCCATAGGTATTCGAGAAATGCAGCAAATATTTTATTGTGTTGTAAAAAAATCGAATTATATAAAATTCTGAAAAAAAATTCTGGTATATTTGTTGAAGCTTTAACAACGAGTTTTTACTATCATACAAATTGGATTGCATTTTTTTACTTATTTTTTACAGATTTAGTTTTATCTACTAAAATTTACAGTTAAAAAGATCGATTTTTTAAAGACATCATCAGTTGGATTAAACATCAGTTGGTTTAATGTTAAATTCAAATTAATTTTTATTTTCAAACTTTGGCTTGATGTAACAGAGATAGTATAAATTTCGGTCCATTCGTTCGAAGAAAATGTTTTACCACTTTGTTGCAGCATTAACCAGCCTAAGGAAATTGAATCTTAATAGTACGAAGCTATCAGCTCAGACATTTGAGTCATTGAAGAAGCGATTACCGGCCCTGCAGGAATTCGACGTTCGATACACGGAGGCCTGGTGACCCTGGTTTGAAGTCACGACGTCCAGCACTTCGTCCAACGGCGGTAGTGTTCGTCGTGACTTGAGAACGAAGAAGCAACGCTGAAGTGTTTGGTCATTCCGAAGAAAATTGAATAGATGTCATGAGGTGACGTCCGTATTTTCGGTGTAATCAATTCAAGTGAATATCGAGTATTGGGCGCTCGTTCATTTGTTTTGCTTCGATTTTACTAATATGAGACGTTCGCTATCAGTGTATAATGATCGTTGAAAACTATGAATCTTTGTTAATGAAACTTTCCAGAGGAAAGGAAACGAAGTTTTCACTGTGCAGGATGAATGAAGAGCCTTTTACCGTGTTTTTAAATATCTTACGTATTTCTTCTAATTTAATCGGTCGATAATTTATTC